AGATTTCCTCAGTGATTGTACCTCCGCACCGAAGCAGGCGGTCGCGGAGTGTCTGGCAGCGACTCATATACTGCATCGCCTTTTCCCTGGTCTTCATTTGTATTGTTATCAACTGCTGCATGAGTCTGCTTTGTGTCACGCTGTCGTTTCCTTGATAGAGACACTTCAGATGATGCCAAGCGAGCTCCGCAGAGTTTCCGTAGCTCCGATACGTTCTTATGCTCTGTTGCTCTTGTGATGACAGATTTCGCAGGAGAAATGTGGACACCAGCAGCGACTGATAAGTGAAGATTTCCTGCTCCTTTGTAGTGCCATTGTTTGGAAATGGCAGGGACCCGTTGAAGTATCCCAAGAGGTGCGCGGCCTCCATCAGCAGCTCGAACTCAAAACTCCAGGTAAATAAGTCGTGCCCGTTGAACGGTGAAGGTGTCTGCAGTTTGATCACACGTGAAAACTGCGCCTGGAGACTCAATATCTCGTTTGGTGTCTGTTGTGATGCAGCTGCTGTCGGTTTACCATGGGGCGGCATGAACTCGAACGTCCCTGGTGAAGAGTGATAAGGCGCAAAGGTAGGTGCCTGATTGTGCTGCCCGAATGATGAGTTGTCAAGGCTCATTGGTGCTAATCCCATATTTCCCTTGTTGCTCTGTGTTGAATGCGCAGGTGTCCTTGTCTGCTGCTGCTGGTCAAAGTGCGACATGAAGCTGAAGAACCTTTCCATAAGGTTCGGGTCCACGCTTGAAGAAGGTGAAGGGGTCACCATTTCTTACCCTCCCTGTTGTTTCTTGAGCTGCGCCGGTCTTTGTTTGTAGTCCTAAAGTGTGTAGTCCAGAGTTGCCGGGTTGAGTGTCTTGGGCGTTGGGTGAGCCCGTAGAAGACTTCTTGCCCTTGTTGTCCATGACTTGTAATCGATGAAGCTCTTGATGTGCTTGACTATAGATAGGGCGTTGTTTCACTTCAGAAACGCCTTCAGAAACGCTTAAGTCTTCGAGGTATTTCCAACAGGGTGCAAAAAGTTCTACACTTAAAGCAAAGACTTAAAAAAAAAATTACCATGTCAAATCAGACTTAGAATTGATTGAAATACCTCGAAGACTTAAGCGTTTCTGAAGTGTAACACTACACTCGAAGAAATGTCGTATCGAGAATGCGAGTCAATGGAGGTTACACGAGGAAGTTGGACGAAAGAACACGAAAGGACGAAGGGACTCCAAGGATCGCAACCGGAGGTTGCGTTGCGACTGACCGTTACGACTGCAAGGGTGGTAACTGAACCATCGATCGAGTCTCTGTGCGACTCGAAAACCGTTTCTTCAACTGTATTCTACAACTGCTCTATTTCTTTTTTTCTATATATTGCTGTATGCTTGTTTATTTTAATCAATTACTTGCTCTCACATACCGTAATCCCCCGTATATAACACCCTATGGTGTATATAAAAATTCACTAAAAAAATGACTGGGTGTTAACAGTGGCCCGGAAAAATATAGTGCCCATGTGTTATGTAAAATGCAATTTGAATGAGTGTTTTAGGCCATGTGTGTTCAAAACTGCGCGGAGCGACTGTTAGCGAGGTACAGAATCCGCTACGACGAAACTCACAAACCAATCGTCGTTGGCCAATCCCTGCTGAGTGCTATAGTCAGGGCCAGGTTTGTGCGGCACCTGCGACCGTCATGATCACGACAGAATCCGCGACTTCGACGGGAGGATTTCGCTCGGGAGGATTCTGACCGTCAAATCACAACAGAATCCGCGAATTCGACGGTCGAAATCCTCCCGAGTCTTGACCTTTGCTGACATTTCCATTTCGCGCTGCAACTTGTGTTGATGTTTCTGCCCGTTTTTTCGCTGCTAATGGTAGTTGACATTGCGTTTTTCATCCTGTTCGTTTTTTTTTTTCAATCGAGCTGAGCTTGAAAAACTACGAAATACTGTTCTTTGCTGCATAAAACGAGGAGGGTGTTATGTAAAATGCAACCCCCGAAAAGCGGGTGCTCTCCTAAATTCACCCTATCATAAGCTCTCCCCCGCATAAACCACCCGCGGAGTGACTATTTCGGCGGGTGTTATATACGGGGGATTACGGTACTAGTGCAAGGGTTCAACGACTCAATACTTCCACTGCACTACTCAAACACTTCATACAAGTGGGACTTAGTCTCTGGAAAGATCCTAAGGGCTTTCTCTCAGCCCAACAAGAATGTTATTTAACTCTGACCGTCAGGGTAATTTTTTTTTCCTGCTCCGATTTCTAAGAGTGACCTAAAACCAACTTTGGGCCCTGCTTGCATTGCAACTCTCTACAATTGTAGTATCTTGACATCGAAGGCATCGAATCAGACGATGTTCTGTTGCTGCTGTACTCTGCTGTCCCGTCACGCATCCAAATGAGAACCATATTTCATATTAATGACCGACGTTGCGTTTTCCTCCGTTGGTGCTCCTGCAAGGGAAATGAATGAGCTTTCTTCCAAATCAAAGTTAGTATCCCGTATAATACAAGGGATTGTCCCAAGATCGCCCCGGTGCATGCATGCGTTGCAGGCATGCTTGCTAGTGCCAGAAAACAAGCATCATCCTCTCATCTCATCCCAGCTCTTTCTCAAGCTGCTGCTGCACAAGCACTCCCAGCAGCGCCTTCTGGAGCTCCCTATCGCGCGCCTCCCTCCCCACGGGGTGCCACATGTGTCTGATCATGTCGCCCTCGGGCCCCGTCATCTCCAGGTATGGCAGCACCACCACCTGCTGCCGCCACCTCTGCACCACCAGGTTCATCGGCCGCTGGTCGCCGAAATTGGGCAGAATGGCGTCGTACCACTCCTCGAGAAACTGTTTTTGTGGGGAGGGGGGGGGGAGGGGTGTCGAGGGAAGGGGGGTGCAGGGAAGGGGAGTTAGCGTATGGGGCAGAAGAGGGAAGAGGGAAGGGGAAAGGGGAAAAGGGGGTCTGATAGGGGAGAGGTGGTGAGGAAGCATGAGCATGGCTGATTGGCCGGTGTGGGACAGCCAAAGCCAATGGCAACCAGCAGGCTACTCCACAGTGGGGAAGGAGAGTGCATGGGGACACGGATTCAGCATAGGGCGCACACACACTTGTACCCATGCACGCACACGCACACACACACACACACACACACACACACACCGTGCACACACGCACACACGCACGCACACTGTGCACACCTGCACACACGCACGCACGCACACTGTGCACTCATGCAAACACGCACGCACGCGCACATGCGCGCGCGTGCGCGCGCACACACAAACACACACGCACACACTGACACAGACGCATGCACAAACACACACACGCACACGCGCGGGCGCGCGTGCACACACACACACATACACATCCACCCACCCACCACCCACCTGGAAGCTGTCATCGGAGTGCCCCATGAGCAGGATGCCGGCGTTGAGCGAGTCAAAGTCCGGGTGGAACAGCTGCTGCGCCTCGCCATCGTACCCCATCTGCCCGTCGCCGTTGCGCGCCACCACCAGGATTGGCAGTTTGCCCTTGCCCGCACCCGACGCGGCAAGGGGGGGCGCTGAGGGGAAGGGCGTCTGGAGGAGCCTGCGTGAGACGGAGGGATCGGGGGCGGTTGCAGAGGCCCCCTGCTGGCTGGCGTCTGCGGTTGCTGCTTCTGTGTTTGGATTCGGCTGCTGCTGCTCATGTGGCTGCTGTTGTGACTGTTCCGGTTGCTGTTGCTGCTGCTGTTGTGGCTCCGGTTGTTCCTGTTGTGGCTGCTTCTCCTGCTCCTGCGCCTGCTCCTGCGCCTGCTCCTGGCCGCGTGGCAGGCGCGTGCTGGCGGCGTCGGCGGCAGTGTGTGGCCGCTTCTCCTGGTGCGGCTGTGGGCGCAGCACGTGCTCGATCTGGTACGCGTTCACCACCTGTCCCTCCAGGTGCGAGTTGGACCGCCCCACCAGGCGGTCGAAGTAGCCCTGCCCGCATTGCCGGAACCGGAACAAGGACCAGTGGAGCGAAGGGTGGTGGGCAGGGTTTAAAAAAACGGCGTTTTTTTCAGATTTAGACCGTTTGCTACGGTACCGTATTTTTCGGTCGTTTTAAACGGTTTAAAACGGTTCTGAAAGTTCGCCTTTTCGCCATGCCCCGCGCCCCATCCCCTTTGTGGTTGCAAGTGAGGCGTACTCGGGATGACGATGGCAAGGTCATCCGGTCGGAATGCTTGCACTGCGGTTTGAACATTTCGGGTAGTGCGACGCGCATACAAGAGCACCTTTACGGCACCCCTGCGTCGAAATTCAAGAATATTGCGGAGTGCAACTCCGACTTTGCAAGGAACCTCCGCGCAAGGGGAGCCTTGTCTTCTACTACGACGGCGATAAACCGTGGGTCGGCGACCGCGGTTGCTGCACCAGCGGGGAAGCGCTGCCGAACTCGCGACATTCGCGGCATGGTGGACAAGGCCGGGAGGGACGCCCTCGATCTCCTTTGGGCGACCGCCATCGTGGAGAATGATTGGGCGTTCCATGTTTCGCGGTAAGTGCGCCGTTTCCAGCCATCCCACCCGCTTTTCCAGCCTCGTAGATGCTCTTCCGCCGCACTCCCGCCCTCCCCTTTCCCCCTCCTCCCCTCCCCCCTCCCCCCCCCTTCTCTAACCACTTGGCATGACATGAGAGGGACCATGCCGTGGCGCCTGAGAATCCAGCACTCTCCCTTTCGGTACACCACCACTAGGTCGCCCGCCGTCCAAGCGTTCGTGGAGGGGGTGGTCGCATATGGCAAGCCCTACGAGCTGCCAAGTGCATACAAGGTTACCCATCCCCTCCTCGACAAGCTCAAGACCGAGACCGAAGCGCTAATGCGACCCATCAAGGAGTCTTGGGCCTTGACCGGCGTATCTCTGTCTATGGACGGATGGACCGACCTCAAGAGCCGCGGTCTTGTGTGCATCATCGGCATGAACGACACGGCGCCGGTAGTGGTCGACGTGGTCGATTCGAAGACCCATAAGAAGACCGGCGCCTACCTTGCATGGCTCATTCGGGATGCGATTTGCAAGGTAGGACATACTCGCGTTGTCCAAGTGGTGATGGACAACGCGAGCAACAACAAGAGGGCGGCGGCCGACCTTGGTGAAGGATTCCCCATGGTATTCTTCACCAATTGTGCGGCACATTGCCTCGACTTGATGCTCGGTGACCTTGGGGCGATAAGCGTGGTGCATAAGGTCCTGCAGCAAGCGCACCAAGTAGTCATGCTCGTGAAGGCTAGCGCCACCGCCGTGACCCTCTTTCGAGAGGTCTTTAGCGAGTTGGAGCTAGTCCGTCCCGGGGCTACTCGGTTTGGCACGCAAGTCCTTATGGTCGGCCGTTTCTTGGAGGTGAAAAAACAGTTGAAGAGCATGGTGATTAGCGAGGAGTGGGCAGAGGTGCCTGCAGCGAAAACGAAGAAGGGGAAGCGGATTCAAAGCCTTCTCCTAGACGAGGCTTTTTGGGGCTCGGTGGAGGCGGTGCAAAAGTTGTTGATGCCGATTTATGAGGTGCTTCGGGCGGTGGACACCCGTTCTCACCTCATGGGGCGCATCTATGGCTTGATGCTTGACGCGACAATGAAGACCAACAAAGCTGCGGAGGCCGCAGGTACTTGCCCATCCCCCCACCGTCCATACTCCGTTGCGTACCTTTTTTGTACAGTCGAGGACAATATGCAGCCCCTACCTTTCCGGCCCTTACTAACCCGCCTCAAACCGTTGTGCTCTGTTCTTTTTCCAGCCACATTTTTCATCAAGAGAACGGGGCTGCTCTTGGCCAAGAACAAGGCATCGTTCTTGACCAAGGTGCAAAGGATCATAGCAGCGCGTTGGGACGGCCAACTCCACAACCCGCTTCATGCTGTGGGTTGGCTCCTCAACCCCCTTAACCGCTTTGCCGAGGAGGTGAGGACCGACTCGGAGATTGGTAAGGGGTTGAAAAGGGTGACGGAGGCGTGGGAGCCGGACATTCAGCGCCGCACACTCCTCCAAACCCAAATCGCCCACTACCATAGCGGGGAGGGGACGTTGGGCAGTTTGGAAGCACGGTGGGCCACCACCCACCTTGTGGAGCGTGGGCGGCTCTCGGAGGCGGAATGGTGGACCACCTTTGGAGGGGAGGTGAGGGCGTTGCAAGAGATCGCGGTGAAGGTGCTCTCCCAACCCACGACCGTATCCGAGGTGGAGCGAGCGTGGTCGGCGTTTGCACGGGTGCAACGTCGAGATCGCAACCGGTTGAACGCCTCCACCTTGATTGACGTCACGGTGGTGGCGATCAGCCGGCGCTCGAGAAAGGCTTTTGACAGGAAGGTTGCGGCTCGGGACCGCCTCTACCAAGACCTAGGCGCTAGCGTGCTCGGAGAGGGGAGCTCTGGCCCCGCACCACCCGCCTCCCAAGAGGGAGAGGGGGAGGGGGAGGAGGTGGAGGAGGAGGAGGAGGAGGAGGTGGAGGGAGCGGTTGAGTGCACTATCGATTGGGAGTCCTTTGGGAGCATCGGCGAGAGGAAGAAGAGGAAGGGGAAGACCTCCACCGTGAAGCGTTCGAAGAAGGCAAAGGGCTCGGGGAAAGGGAAGGGGAAGGGGAAGGGGAATGAGAAGGCGAAGGCGAAGGGGAAGGGGAAGGGGAAGGGGAAGGGGAAGAGGGCACGGGTGGAGGAGGAGGAGGACGACGAGGACAATGAAGAGGAAGTTCGCGGACCATGGGATCTCAGCGTGGGAGAGGGGGGAGGGTTTGGGGGGTGGTCGGCGGAGGAAGAGGAGGACGACGAGGACGACGAGGAGGAAGAGGAGGAAGAGGAGGAGGCCGAGGAGGAGAAGGAAGATTCGGGGAGGAGGAGGAGGAGGAGGAGGAGGAGGAGGAGGAGGAGGAGGAGGAGGAGGAGGAGGAGGAGGAGGAGGAGGAGGAGGAGGAGGAGGAGGAGGAGGAGGAGGAAGAGGAGGAGGACGATGAGTAGGGGGAGGAGGAGGGGTAGGAAGAGGGGTAGGTGGATGAGGAGGAGGATGGGTAGGAGGTAGTGTAGGGGGGGAATAAGTAGTAGGAGGAATATGCGGCAGACTCCAGCTTTGGCAGACCTATTTAGTTCAGTTAGGACCCTTACTATGCATGCCATAGCCACCAATAGTCGTCTATTTTGTCCCCTTCTGTCCCTCGTTTTTTTTTTTTTTTTTTTTTTTTTTTTTTTGGAGAAAAAAAAACTATATTAAAAAAACGGCGTTTTTTTAATTAAAAAACCGTTTTAAACGACCGAAAAAAACGACCGAAAAAAACGGCCTGCCGTTTTTTTAAACCTTGGTGGTGGGGGGGTGGGGATGGGGGGATACGGGAGATGGAGGGGGAGGGAGAGAGGGGAGGAGGGGGGGTGTTTGGGGAAGGTAGAAAGTGCGAAAGAGTGGATCAAAATTGGCAATTGTGTGTGCGCGTGAATGTGTGTGTGATCGGGGAAGGCGGGAAGGGGGAAGGGGGGATGGAGTGTGTGGGTGGGCGGGTGTGCGTGCGCGGGCGCGCGTGCGCGCGTAGCTCACCCGCTTGCTGGCGCGCGCGGCCCACTCTTCCACGGAGAGGCGGTGCATGTCCATGCGTATGTACGCGTCCGAGTCCACGTACAGCACCCATCGGCAGCAGCACTGCAGCGCGTGCCGCAGCAGCATCACCTGCGCGCGCGGGGGACGGGGGAGGACGTGGGGACGGGGGGGGTGGGGAAGGGGGGGGGGGGGGGGGGGGGGAGGGGGAGGGGGCCGGTCGGCGGTGGGGAGAGGGGAGTGGCGGGAGGACGGACGAGGAGACAGGTGAACGAGAGACGGGGAGCAATCCGTTTGGAGAGAACGGGGGAAAGTGGGCAGAGGCAAGCACGGGAGAGGGGGGTGCGAAGAGTGCAGCAGAGGTCGTTGCGCTAAACGGCCGGGGAAGAGGCACCGTGCGATGGCCGTGAGTGCGCTCTTGCAGAAACGGTTTTTAGAAGCTGAAAAAGAATTCGTCCAGACAGGAAAGGGCCCCTTTCCAGTGCCTACTACTACCATTCAACTTCGTTGCTTGAGTCGTCGTCGTCGCCGTAGTAGTAGTATTACCTTGTGCCACGTGGCCTTGCGCGAAGAGTTATAGTTGTCGTAATACGAGTCAAAGAAGAGGTACCCGTGCCGCTGAGCGTACAACTTGCCACGCCCCAATCCCGAGATTTCCCATTGTCCAACGGCGCGGCGCGTGGAAGGGTAAAGACATGATGACGGCGCTCAGAAATATTTACTATCTCACGCAACGCCGCGCAATTGACGTGGGCTCGAACTGACACGGCTTAACTCCAACGGATTAACTCGAATTGACTCGGATTGACTTGACTGTTGACCCCCACCGGCGACTCGCCGAGATTCAATCTCGAGATCCTACGTGGCAACAGTCTTGACACTTTGTGGACCAGACCTGGGTACAGGCTCGCTGCGGAGGGAGTGGGGAGGTTGTGCCTGTGTGGCGACAAATGTGGCCCGTAGGTTGTAGGGAGGGAGTAGCCACGGTGTCCGTAACCCATCTCGGCAGAAGGTGTGGAATTGCTATACGAACAACTATTTCTAGTCTATAAATGGCCAAAATATAGCCAGTTTATAGCGAAGGTCTAGCGACGGAGTAGGGAGTCCGTGGAAGGACTGCGGATATTTTGGGACGGAGCAATCATTCGCTATCCTCCTCCTCACTTGTTGATGATGCGCGACGACTCGTAGTACGGCAGCTGCGACAGGCTCTCCAAGGAAACCTCGCCACTATCGGCAGCTTCGCCGCCGCTCCATCTCGCCGCCGCCGCCGCCTCCGCCGCTGCTGCTGCTGACAGCCCCCCACCAGAGGCCGCCGCTCCAATGGCCCGCAGCCTAGCTGCGAGGGAGCGATTGTCGGAGTATAGTATGCACCCGGGCCGCAGGTGCGGCGGTACTAAGGGAGTTTCTGGGCCGGGGTTGGTTGTGCGACTACTAGCCGCGGCGGAAGCGCCGTCGCCGGAGGTGGTCACGAAGGTGTCGCACGACGATTGCGACGGTATTCGCAGGAGTGGCGACTGGAGGAAGAGGAGCGAGGTGAGGAGCGAGGCGGCGAGGAGGAGATGTCTGTGGTCGTGCCACGCGCCGGCCAGAATGCTGCGAGGGGTGAGCTGCATGGGCGACAGAGACGGCGACAGGTGCGACAGGTGCGACGAGGTCATAATGGGACAACGGCCCACGACGGTAGGGTCTAATAATACTACTTCTAGGGTCTTCAAATAGTAGGGTACTCGAGGCCAGTCCGTCCAGAGTCAGAAAGAAAGGAAGGTCTTGAAGAGACATGCACGAGGGTCGCGCGGGAGGCTCAAAGTAGCAACGCCGGGCCGTGCTACTGCTGCTGCTGCTACACGTGGCGGACGGACGGGCGGGCGGCGGAAGAAGACACGCGGCACGCTGCGGCTACACGTCACTCACGCCGTGGCACGTGGGTCCGTCACGGTTGAAAGGCGGTCTGAGAATTTCATGGCTATGTTTGTAGGACTACCAACGAACGTGCTTCAACGATTATGTTTCTCGTAGTGTGTTGGGCCTCTGGAAAAGAGCTTGAGCTGCGCGCCACGGAGCTAATGTCACCTGGTCGTAAGACACCCAAGCACGCCAAAGAGAGGTGCCGCTGATACAATCTGGGTTGAGGGAGAGGTTGGAGTGCTGATAGAATCGACGCACGCACCTATCAGTGCGAGCAGTGCAGTGACTAGGGTTCTTCTGTGCCCTGCAGTGCCGTAGGAAGGCCAGAGCTTCAAGCTTCCAATGCTGGAACAGTGTCGCCCTGGGGAGGCCAGGTAAACGTGACGAGGTGGGGTGGTGGTGACGTGAGTGGAAGGGAACAAATGTGTGGGCGAAGGAGCGCCTAAGCCTGTGGTTTCCTACGGCCTGCAATAGTTATGAGAACCAAATTCGATTTCTAGGGGCCTTGTACATCTGCTCGTCGCACTGCACCAACGGGTTACCAACGAGTCACCAGTGGTGGTGGGGGGCGTGTCCAGGTTGGCTGGAGATCGACGATTTCTATACCCGAGGGGAACAGATGAAACAACTTTCGGAGGATGGAACATTACTCCGTTACATGACGGATCATGGTTGTAAGGTGCGCTTTCGTCATTTCCTTTCGTTTACAATATCTGGGGTTTTCATGGGTAGCGACATGGCTGGGAGTGGCTTGCAGAGAGTGCGCTAGCGAGGCAAACTTTATGCTGTCGTCGCAAACACGAAACGTCCTTTTCCAGCTGCACCGAATGTCGAAATGTCTTCTGCATGCGCCCCCGCATTTCTTCCATACAATGCTTGCGCGAGCTGGTCCCAATGTTTCGTGAATGGACAAAGTGTCCGCTACGTACACACAACATTGTTCCCATGCGCGGTGCGGAACACCTTGAGAGAACGCCAACCTGCATAACGCTTAGGGGGGGTGCTTTAGTAGTTTTTGTGATAGAGTCGAACTTGACGTGCGAACCAGGCGTTCGTGAATATTCACAAATTCGCTGACTGAGTCACGAACTCCGAGGGGTAGGAGCGATTTGCATGCCTGACCCGGAAGTGCACGTTCCGTTCGAGAAGGTTTCGCGAAATACGCGACGTTGATTACCAGCCGGGATCGAACCCGGAATCCTTAATGAACCACCCCCTTAGACAAAAAACAAGAGTTGCCAGCTGGAGACGCCGAAGAGGACAGCAATTCCCAGACGTGGAACTTGGCATACATTATAATTCGATATGAATCAGTGCAGGGAAAATGTTTCTGTGTTGCATAATCTCTTTTAAACGGAGGTTTCCTTAATGCATACGTGTGTAGAACGGATCATAGAATTACCAGCCTAGAACGGCTTTTCAAACAGGTTCGGGAACCAGGTCATCCAAACTGGAACCAACGCCCTGGTTTGAGTGAAGGCGGTTGCGAAACTCGTAGCAAGTCGTTCACGGTCAGGTGTGGGTAAATTTCTCGACAGTACGGAAACGGTGAAACCAGACCTGAGGTTGCAGCTGGAGCTCCCACAAGCGAAGATGGAGAGTTGTCGAGTAGCGGGCGAGAAGCGGACGAACGTCACGAACGAAAAGCGATCTTCACAAAGCGATGACAAACACGTTTTCACCACGCGAGCCACCCACAACTGTAGCGAAACTTGCCCCCCTACAACGAATTTGAAGTTGAGGCAGAGAGTTAATGCACTTGGAAAAAAAAAAACCCCAAGTTGCGTACAATATACTTGCGTGTTAGTGCAGTAATTGCCACAAAAGCCAATGAGTCATGGACCGTTCGGTCATGGAACATGCGATGGACTTAAGGAACAGCAGACGACGGGATTCGGCAGGGCGCAAAACCGGGCCCCTAACGATTTATCCTTGATGTGGGTGAGCAGTACAATGTGAATGTGAGCTATGAGACGTCATGGGGTAAGCCAGTGTCCATCCACGAGGGCAGCTGCATGGCTGCCACTCCAACCTCCATCGTGCCAGGCAGGTCAAGCAGTGCTTCAGACTCCCCATCAGCAACGTTACCCTCTGTGGGACTGGCTGCGCTGTGAGGTTGCTGTATTAATGTGGTGGGGGGTGCCTGTGTGCTTGTTGCTAGTGCTGAGGAGACGGGGGGTGGATGTTGGGAGGATTGGCTTTTGGAGGGGAAGAAGGAGGTGGAAGAGGATGAAGAGGAGGAGGATGAGGAGGAGCATCCGGTGGGTGGTAAAGGCAGCATGCGCCAGCGTTGCAAGCCGTCTGCCACATGAGAGGTGCTGTTGGAAGAAGGCATGGAGGGGGGTGCAACCGTGCAGGGAGGAAGGGTGGAGGTATGCAGGTGGGGCGGGCTCAAGAGGATGTAGTCTTAGAGCACATAGGGATAAGAGAGGAGAGACAGGCTGAAGGAGTGTGCCGGGATGCAACAAACAGGGGACACAGAGAAGAACAAGAGAGGAGGATGCATGTGCGGAGGCAAGAGCGCACAGTGGTAGGGGCGGAGGGGTACCTTAGGTTATCGCCAATGCACTGTGGGCAGGACGGAAGGCCTCGAAGGCACTCTGCTTGCAGCAACGGGTGGAAAGGCAGAGGAGGGGTGGGGGGAGGGGAGAGAAAGTGAGGATGGATGACAAAGAGGAGCACTAGCGAAAGGCAAGGGTTTGGTTGGTATAGAGGAGCGGAGAGAGGGGAGGATGCACGGAAGAGCAGAGAGAAGGGAGGATGCACGGAAGAGCAGAGAGAGGGGAGGATGCACGGAAGAGCAGAGAGAGGGGAGGATGCATGGTAGAGCAGATAGAGGGGAGGATGCACGGAAGAGCAAAGAGAGGGGAGGATGCACGGAAGAGCAGAGAGAGGGGAGGATGCACGGAAGAGCAGAGAGGGGGGAGGATGCACGGAAGAGCAAAGAGAGGGGAGGATGCGCCCAAGAGCAGAGAGAGGGGAGGATGCACGGAAGAGCAGAGAGAGGGGAGGATGCGGAAGAGCAGAGAGAGGGGAGGATGCACGGAAGAGCAGAGAGAGGGGAGGATGCACGGAAGAGAAGAGAGAGGGGGGATGAGGCAGCAGGTCACATGCAGAAGGCGGGAAGGAAGGGAGCAGCTAATGCAGCTGACAGAATGCTGATGATGCTCATGCCCATGCGCATGCCCATGCCCATGCCCGTGCTCATGCCCATGCCCATGCCCGTGCCCGTGCCCATGCCCGTGCCCATGACCATGCCCGTGCCATGCTGGTGTCACAGAGCAGAGCAGGGCACACACCGAGGGCGCAGGGCATGCCGAGGGAGGCAGCGCCGGTGCTGAGCACAGCGAGCAGGCGGCGGCGGTCCAGCGGCGAGGAGTCGTCACTGACCAGGCAGCGCGTGGCCAACGACTGCGGCAGCAGCAGCGTGTCCCCGCCCCGCTGCGCCGCAGTCTGCTGCTCGCTCAGCGGCCATCCGTACACCGTCACCTGGGGGGGGGAGAGGGGAAACAATGAGAGTGTGAGGCAACAGGGGGTGAGCTAACAAAGAGTGAGCCACTGTGATGAAGGTGGTGGAGGAGGGGGAAACTGGCAGATTAATACTGCAGCGATTTTGATGTGCATGCACCAACCGTGCATCATGGGGAAAATCGAAAAGCAGAGGCGGAGACAGAAGACCTAAAAGCCACAAGCCACAAGAACTAGTAGCTGAACGTCAGTGTGTGCAAAGTAAAGTACCCTTCGGCATGTGTTGAGCGCAAGCATGAGAGCCGTCCACCCCTCTGACACCTTGGGGAGTGCTTCCTCCTCCTCCACTCCTGCTCCTCCTGCTCCTCCCGCCCCTCCTCCCGCCACTCCCTCCCTCCCGCTGCCCCCTACCGCACCCATCCCCCCTCTCCCTCCTTCCCCTGCTGCTGCTGCTGCTTCCCCCTGCGCCACCAGGCGGTCTATGAGGCGGGCTTGGGTGCGCGCGTATGTGAGAAACGCGGGCGAGAGGGCGTGGTGCCGCTCATGCTTGCTCGTGGTGCTGCGGTGCGGTGATTGGGGGGAGAATACGGGTGGAGATAAAAAGGAGGACGTGAGCTGAGAGGAAGAGGGGAGGGGCGAGAAGCTGACTCCCTTCTGCGATAGGAGTGGTACTGGCGCAGTGCTGGTGCATGCCGCTCTCCTTCTGTTTTTCAGGCGTTGAAAATTCTTCTGCGGTATGAAAGGTACTCGCGCATGCCCCTCTCTTACTGTTTTTGAGGCCTTAATAAAATAAATTTATTTCAAAAATAATAATTAAAAAAAAACCGAAAAAGGACTTGCTACTAGTACATCCCCCTATTCAACACACGACTCACTTTCGTCTGCGGTAGGAGAGGTACTGGCGCATGCCGTGCTCGGACTGTGCGGCCACCAGCACCATCTCGCGCTTTACCTCCCTCGCCCTCTCCTGCTCCTCCGGCCGCACCACCCTGATGCTCGTCTGCCAGGGGGACCGGGGGAAACCGGGAGGGAGCCGAGGGGGAGCCAGGGGTTGCATGAATGAGGGGTTGGATGAATGAGGGGGAGGATGAGTGAGGGGGTGGGTGAATGAGGGGGAGGATGAATGAGGGGGTGGATGAATGAGAAAGCTGGGAGGGGAAGCCTGGCACAGGGAAGGCAGAGGAGGTGCTGGGCAGGGAGCGAAGGCAGGAAGACTTACACGCAGGCAGGGAGGCAGGCAGGGAGGCAGGGGACGCAAGGTGTAGTCTGGGAGGAAAGCGTGGGTGTGTGAGGGGCAACAGCCCACCCCAGCCCAGCCCAGCACTGCACCGCACAGCACCGTACAGAACTCACCCGCGACCCCACGAATCCGCTCCAGGGCCTGGCAGCAGCGGCGCCGACACGGATGATGGCCTCGTGGCGGTCGATGTGCGCCCCACACGGCAGCGCCAGAAGCGCCGCTGACTCGCCCACCACTGCGCAGCTCTGGAACACACGCCCCCGCACACTGTCCGCCTGGCGGGAGGGGGTCGAGCGGGCGTGGAGATGGGTAGAGGGGCGTGGAGGGGCGTGGAGGATCAGGGGAGGATGAGTTGGGTGAGAAGATGTGAAAAGGCAAGGCTGACTCGCCCACCACTGTACAGTTCTGAAACACACGCCCCCCCACACTGTCCGCCTGGCGGGAGGGGGTCAAGAGGGAGTGGAGGGGATGTGGAGAGGGAGGGGGGGACGAATAAAGCGGGATAGAGGATGTGAGAAAGGACAAGGCTGACTCGCCCACCGCCGCACAACTCTGGAACACACGTCCCCCCCACACTGTCTGCCTGCACAGAGGGGGGTTTAGAGACGTAGAGGGGCACAGGAGGAGGAGTGGGGTGGGACATAGATGTGGGATTGGGCAATGCTGACTCGCACATTACTGTATATTAAGCGCCTAGAGAGGGCGAGAGGGAGTAGAGGGGCGGCACGAGAGGGGGGTGAGAGGGGGAGATAGAGGGGGAGATAGAGGGAAAGATTGAGGGGGAGATGGAGGGGGAGATGGCGGGGGAGATGGAGGGGGAGATGGAGGGAGAGATGGAGGGGGAGATAGAGGGGGAGATAGAGGGGGGGAGTGGCATGTGGGAGGGAGAAGTGGTGGGATGGCAGTGGTGGGTCGGTGGGTAGGGAGGGGTTGGAGGGATGGGCCAGGCGAGGTACCGTCAGGGTTTCGGGAAGGGGAGAGAGGGTGGGAAAATGGGTATGGGAGGGAGGGAGAAACGTGGTGGGTAGATTCACCCATTCGTACAATGAATCACGCAGGTGGGAGAAGGTATAAATCAACCCGTGCCCATAACCCATGCAGGTGGCGAGCAGCAAGCTGCACGGCAAGGAGGAGGCAGAGGTAGCGGAAGCGGACGTGCTGGCAGGGGAAGAAACGTGATAATGATCAAGACTGGCAAAACAAGACGGGGGCACAGGGGGCAGAAGCAGAGAGCGTGGGAGCGGTCGAGCTGGCTGGCAGTTACCGTGGGGAAGAGCCCCTTGGTCCGCAGCCCCTTGGTCTTGGGCGGCTTGATGGCCTTCCACACTGCCTTCATGCCCGGCCCTTCAATCACCGCTCTCCGCACGCCCCTCCCCTGCTGCTGCTGCTGCTGCTGCTGCTGCTGCTGCTCCTGCGGCTGCTGCTGTCGCATGAGTCGCTGGGGTTCGTCTGCTAGGGTGCGCACCGTGTTGCTGCGAGGAGAGCGAGGACAGGGAGGGCAGCGGCGGACAAGGAGGGGAGGAAAGATGTGCGCTTCTGTTATTGCTAGGTGGCGGCATGGCAAGTTGAGGACTGGTGGCCAATTTCTGGGGGAAGACGGGGTGACTTTTGAGTCGACTCAAAAGTCATTTCTGGGGAAAGACGGCAGCGTGCCATGCTAAGGATCGCGTGAGGGCGTGGGAGGGGATCTGTGTGTGCAGTGCACCCAAACGAGTGAAAGGTGGGTTCAAGGCGACGGGGGTGGGTGAGTCGGGGGAATGGGGTGGTGAGGGAGGGGGGGAGGGAGGGACCGCCGCGCAGGTGGCATTCATAAGCAACATGCACCTGAGGGACAAGAAAGACACCGAAGAGTCATAATGGCTCGTGCTGGGCGGTGTGACCTCATTCAGCCCCCCGCCCCTAATGACAGTCGAGCCCCGCCCCGCAGGGAGGGCGGTGCCACAGCACGTACAGCATGCACCAGCCAGGCAGGGGGGTAGCCGTCCAGCCAGGCGGTACACCAAGCAGTACAAAAGTGCGCACAGCACGCACAGGCAGCACAGCACGCACAGGCAGCACAGCACGCACAGGCAGCACAGCACGCACAGGCAGCTCAGCACGCACAGGAAGCACAGCACGCACAGGCAGCACAGCACGCACAGGCAGCACAGCACGCACAGGCAGCTCAGCACGCACAGGCAGCTCAGCACGCACAGGCAGCACAGCACGCACAGGCAGCACAGCACGCACAGGCAGCACAGCACGCACAGGCAGCACAGCACGCACAGCACGCACAGGCAGCACAGCACGCACAGGCAGCGCGCACCTGATTTGCGGAACCACGGTGTCGTTGCCCTGGGTGGGCGGCGTGAGCTCGTCCAGCCCGTTGCGAGACACGATGAAGTCCCCCAGGAACGGCGGGGGCACGTACACGGGCTGCCCGTCTAGTGCCCGCTCGCCCTCCACGCGGAATGGCGCGCAGGCCTGGGTGCCTGGGGGGAGCGAGGGTGGGGGGGGGGGTGGGGGGAACGGGAAGGACGAACAAGAAAGGAGAGCAGAGGAAAGGGTTGGGGGGGGAAGGGTTGGCGGGGGAAGGGGGAGAGGGGAGCGGGAGGGAAGGAGGGAGGGTTCAAGGGAGAAAGGAAGAGGGAAACGGAAGGGGAAATGGAGCTCATGAGAGGAAGGCCTAGGGGAAAGAGCACAGGGGGACTGGTCAAATGTCAGTAATGGTCGAGGACGGGAGAAACGGAAACAGTTGGGATTTCAGAGGCACGAGAGGCAGTGGCACGGAACCTGGCCTGAGGGCGGGGCAGAGGCACGCGTTGCGGAAGGGCATGCCAAGGGGCTCGCAGCCCACGTCTGCGTCCCCTGGCGCCGCCGGAGTGCCCTGGGACGCGTTTCGCCCCTGAGAATCGCCTTGCCCTGCGAGGAGCCCAGGGGCGTGCAGAAGCAGAGAGATAGTGAGTGGCGATGCACTACGCTAGAGGGATCATACGCGAAAAATCCTCCTACGCGTTGGATCATACGCGAAGGATCCTACGAGAGGGATCCTACGAGAGGGATCCTACGAGAGAGATCCTACGAGAGAGATCCTACGAGAGGGATCCCTCCTCGACGCCCGATAAATGCAATCACGCGCTCAACGGGATCATGCGCCAATCCCCCTCCCGTGGCCAGCTAGCTACACGGTACACCCTCTGCACGCGCAGTAGCAAGGAGACGAGCACGGAGAGAAGCAAGGGCAGCAGCACGCGCAGCAGCACCGGCAGCGGCGAGCGCAGCAGCAAGGGCCCCGCGGTGCGCTCATGCCGTGTGTCTTGATCGCAGCCAAAGCGAAGCAACGCGCGCTCCAAGTCGCATCGCGACTGGACGACGACCAGCCGCGCGCGTCGCTGCCGTGGCTGCAGCGAACCGCCACCCACTGCCTCACCCTCGCCCTCCCCCCCACTCCCCTTCCCCACCACCACCATTCCAGCACGAGACAAACACAAAGCCATGCCGCTTACTCCACTCTCACCCCGCTGCCTCACTTTGTCTGCCAGCTACCAGCGGAACATCCCTGTTCTCAACCGCTGCCTAGACTAGACGACAGGCCTGGTGGCTTGCCGACACAAAGCAAACGGGTAAACAAAAGGACCTTCGAGGCAACTTGCAGAACGGCCCCAAGCGCCAGGCCGCAGGCCCCGAGAGACGCACAAACACACAGCGGCAAATGTGACTTGTCAGTTGACTCAAACCGCACGCAGTCACACACAGACTCACCGGCACCACCTGCCGGGTTGCTTCGACCTTCCTCTCCCTTCCCCGCCAGCTTCCCCAGCTCCTGTTGAAACAGCACCGACACCCGCTTGCACGACTCCGCTATAGTCACGCACCACTGCACGCCCCTGCTATCGTCACACTCCAACTCACCGGACCCCGCACCGTTCCCCTGGACTCCCTTCCCCGCATCCGCTCCCCCCGAGCCCGCTTCCCCCGAATCCACCCCGCTCCGCACTTCCGCGCTGCCAGGCCGACCGGGACCAAGCCCCTGGGCGCTTGGGAGCCCGCCGTCGCGGCCCTCACTGCCGTTCAGCCGGCGACAGTTAAGAAGTGACGGCTTGCAGGCAGATAGCTGCTGCTTGCAGACGACCAGCGCGGCTTCCAGCCGGCGATGCAGCGGGAGTTGCTCCAGGCCCCGCGACGATAACCGCGTCGACCCTCGCTTCATACGTGATAGAAGCACGCCCGCTGCTCGTTGACGACCCCTGCGCAGGAAGCCGGATCCGGATAAGTCCGACGGAGCTTGCCCCGAATGCTCCTGTATAAGCGGCTCTGGTTGCGGCCAGAGCGACCCGGCGCCGGACTGCGAGTCGCCGATCCACGCGGACCGAATCACGCCGCGAAACATGAGCACGCCGAGGAGGCTCAGCGACGCGGCGACTAGGAAGAGAAACTGCGGGACCGTCAGCCGCAGCAGCAGGTGGATCGGATTCCGGCCCTGGTTCATATGCAGGCTCGTCTTGGACGCCGTCCGCGTGAAGTTGATTTTCGACGGGCCCAGATGCGACGGAGTGTTGGCTCCTGAGGAACTCCCGGAGGGTACAGTCAGCATGGGGCCCCCTCCTGCTGCTGCATTGGATGATAGCTGCACGGTTAAGTTGCCGCCGCCGCCGCACGCGGAGATGCCGTCCAGCGTGCAGCCCGATGCGAGGCTCGCGACGTCCGACGAGACGGTTACCCATGGATTCTTCCCGTTCACGCTTCGCGATCGTGCCGCCTGCATTCTTCGCGAGGCTGGGGGCGACGTCCGGCGAAAACCACAGCCGTCGTGACTCACGTTTCACTAAGGCAGGCTCTGACCGATATCCCCCTTATAAGGACTATCCCCGCAACGAAACGATTTGTCAGGGGGATGGAAGCTGGTCAGCTCTAGATGGAAACGTGACCGTTGGCGGATGCGGGAGTGAGACTGGAAATTGCCGTTTCACGTACCGATCTAAACTTCTGTCACCTATGGGGTCTGGCTGGTAACCATTCGTTAAGCGGAAATGGGTCCATGATGCACTGGACCGCGTAAACCTAGAGTAAGAGTGGGACTAAGTCTGAACGACTAAGATCAGCCAAGCGAATCTGAACAGGGGTGACGCGTGAACCTCGAGCAAGCTTCCGGGAGGTGGGAAGATGACGACGAAAGGGACTTAAACGCAGACAGTTTTCGAGAAGAACGGCGACGTGGGCGGCCTAGATAGTAGCAAGGAAAGGGGACTAGCGAACCTAGGTACTGTAGTTGGATTCCTCCTATGGCTCCTGAGTTAGGGCAATGGGAACAAGGAACAGAACGGGATCTAGTGTGTACAAACAGAAACAGAAACATGAACCAGCTCTAGGGAAGACAACGCAGAGAGACATGACTCGTGGCCTCAACGCCGACAGCCAAACCTGGTGCGGGTAAGAGCGTGGTCTGGGGTGGAGTGTTCCCCTTCGAGTGGACTCAACAAACTGTGTTCCCCAACGATCGTGGGGCTGGCCGAGACAGGAACGAACTTCTAAGAACGAATGTGGTAACCATTCTGCGACTGCCGCACGCACATCGATTGGCGTTGCTGGCACCCTGTTTGTGGTTTGGAGAGGCGCGCAGATGAGCACCCCGAGAACATGAGAGCCGTGCGTTCCTATTGGGTCAAGCCTCTGACAGCAATGTCGCCGTACGAGAGCTCCAGGATGGTGGCGACATTCGCCGCAGCCTCACTAGTAACGAGCCTCACTTATGGCGCGAAGCCTGCAGCCCTAGAGACCAAACACAAACCTCCCTTATTGAGAATAGAAATTGCACATTATGATGCACCACATTGTAAGTGGATGATACAAGATGTCACCCTTCTAGAGGACAAGCCAACAAGAGGTTCCAACTTCCAAGAAATTCTGATGAGAATTTGTTTTTGAGGTGTAGAAATTTTCTGTCTTTTTTTTTGCACTAACTTTCTGTCAAACATCTGTATTTGTCATGTTTGTATAGACTGTATAGGGTTACCGCTTAGAGGGTACAACACTTAGGTATATTTGTGTGTACTCTCACTTTACCATCATTCAATTCCAATTCTGATATGGTATCACGCGTAGGTAGGATCCCCCCCCCACCTACCGCTTCCGCTCATGCCCCCTAGCGCCCCTCCCGGGCCCCGTCGCGCTCCTCCCAGGCCCCGTAGCGCCCCGTCGTGCCCCTCCTGGGCCCCGTAGCGCCCCTCCTGGGCCTCGTCGCGCCCCTCCTGGGCTTCGTAGCGCCCCTCCTGGGCCTTGTAACGCCCCTCCCAGGCCCCGTCGCGCCCCTCCCAGGCCCCGTCGCGCTCCTCCCAGGCCCCCTAGCGCCCCTCCTGGGCCCCGTCGCGCTCCTCCCAGGCCCCGTAGCGCCCCTCCTGGGCTCTGTCACGCCCCTCCTGGGCCCCGTCGCGCCCCTCCCAGGCCCCGTCGCGCCCCTCCGTGGCTCCGTAGCGCCCCTACTGGGCCCCGTCGCGCCCTCCCTGGGCCCTGTAGCGCCCCTCCTGGGCCCCGTCGCACCCTGCCCGACCCCGTCGCAGCCGCCCGGCCCCGTCGCGCCCGCCCGGCGCCGTCGCAGCCGCCCGGCCCCATCGCGCCCGCCCGGCGCCGTCGCACCCGCCCGGCCCCGTCGCGCCCGCCCGGCCCCGTCGCAGCGGCCTGGCCCCGTCGCCCTTGCCTGGCCCCGTCGCAGCCGTCCGGCCCCGTCGCACATGCCCGGCCCCGTCGCACCCTGCCCGGCCCCGTCGAAGCCGCCCGGCCCCGTCGCACCCGCCCGGCCGCCGTCCCGCTCGCCCGGCCCCGTCGCACCGGCCCGGCCCTGCCGCACTCGCCCGGCCCCGTCGCCCCAGCCCGGCCCCGTCGCGCCCGCTCGGCCCCGTCGCCCCGTCCCGGCCCTGTCGCACCAGCCCGGTCCCGTCGCGCCCGCCCGGCCCCGTCGGGCCAGCCCCGGCCCCGTCCTCCGCACTGGTACGGTTCCCCCCCCCCCCCCCCACCCCGCCCTGCTCCGTGCCGCCCCGCACCGCACTGTACCGCACTGCACCGCACTGCACCGCACTGTACCGCACTGCACCGCACTGCACCACACTGCACTGCCCTGCACCGCACTGGACTGTTCCTGATGGCGGCGGAGCTTCGCTTCAACGCTGAAGGTCAGCCCCTAGAGTTCGAGGCGTGGCTTGCCGACCTCCGCCGCCAACTCACTGGCCAGCGGCAGGATGGTGAACCGCTTTCCGCACACCTTGACGGTACGCTCCCCTGCCCAGACCCCCGTGCTATCCTGCCCGCTGACCCCACACCCACTGAGCGTGAGTCTACTGCTGCCACTGCCCGTGCGCGCTCTGTCTGGCTTTCTCGCGATGCTGTTGCCCAGCTTGCCATTAGCAACGCCCTTCCCCCATCCGAGCGTCCTCGCTTTAGGTCTCTCACTACTGCTCAGGCATACTTAGATGCTGTGATCAAGCGCTATTCCACCCCTCCGGCTGCCTCGGTGGGTCGCCTGATCCTTCCGATGCTCTTTCCTGACCTTGCATCTTTCCCCACTGTCTCTGACCTCGCTGCCCACCTGCGCTCGATAGATGAGACCTGGCGCGCTGCCTGCACTGACGCCCAGCTTAGAGCCCACCAGCCGCCCATTACCTCTACCCTCTACCTGCTTGCCACCCGCCTCCCTGACCGCCTTGCTGTCGCCCGCGACCGCTTTCTTAGCGTTCACCCCGCAGACCTCACCCTCACTGACTTTGTAGACACCCTGACTGTGATAGAGACCCGTCACCGCTCCATCGCCCAGGCGAGCGGTGTCGTGCCGGTCCCTATCTTTCAGGGTTGTGCCCCCGCTCAGTGCACCTTCTCCGACGGCTCTGCCGCAGTGGCTGAGACTTCTGCTGTAGCGCAGGTCCGTTCGGGGAAGGGCCGCCGCCCCAAGGCTGGGCGCGGCGGAGGAGGCGGCGGGGGTGCGGGCAGGGGTAGTGGTGGGGTCGGGTCGTCTGGTGCTGGAGTGGACGAGGGGACCCTGCCCAGTTCAGCTGAGTCGCCGCCCCAGCAGGTGCAGCAGCCGCAGCAGCCGCCGCAGTCGCAGCCTTCGCAGCAGCCGCAGCAGCCGTCGCAGACGCGGCAGACGAGTGTCCTCCCGCCAGGGTGGCCTGGCACTGGCGGTGGCCGGGCGCGTGGTGGTGTGCCACGTGGTGGCTCTGGCGGCGGGCGTTGTCAGTACCAGATCCAGACCGGTCCTCGCCGCGGCTTCGTTTGCGGTAAGATCGGTCACTCCACTCCCCGCTGTTTTCGTCGCCTGGATGACCTCTTTCGTCAGCGCTTCGGCCCGTCGCCAGACCTCCCGGACTGGCACAGTTTGCTTAGTCGTCAGATTCAGATTTTCGATATGGACATGGATGCCATTGTTTCCGCTCTGCATGTGATGTATGCTGATGACTCTAGTGTGCTTCCCGCTTCTTACTCACTGTTGCCTAGTGTAGGTGTGCCTAGCTTAGCCTCCCCTGCTGCGTCAGGCGTAGGATCCCCTGCTTTGTGTAGTCTTGGTGCTTCCGCCGTCGTTCCGTCGCCAGACCCCTCGGCTTCGCTGTCCTTCACCTTGGACTCTGGCGCCTCTCGGTGTTTCTTCCGCAACTCCACCACCCTGACGCCGCTTCCTGTTTCTGCTGCCGTTTCTCTTGCTGACCCTTCCGGCGGTCCGGTAGTCGCCCATAGTTCCACCACCCTTCCCTGTCCGGCGGTTCCTTCGGGTTCTCTTACAGGTCTGCATATCCCCTCGTTCTCCAGGAACCTAGTTGGTGTCGGCTGCCTCCAGGACCTTGGCGTCACCACTACGTTCCCTGGCCACGAGCGGTATGCTGTCTGTACCGAGGCCGCCACTGGTGCCCCCCTGTCCACGTTCCCCCGAGACCCGGTGTCCGGCCTGTTCACTCTGGACACCGCGACCCCCCCGGCTGGAGCGCCCCCTCAGGTGGCTGCGTCTACCCAGGTTGCTGCTGCCTGCTCCTGTCGCTCCCTCACTCACCCGACCCTCCTGTGGCACCACCACCTAGGTCACCCTGGGCTCCCGCGTCTGCGTCACATGTCCCAGCACGGTCTCGTCCTTGGTCTCCCAGGTTCGCTCCCCGCGTTTCCCTCCTCTCCAGCCCCACCTTGCACGCCTTGTGTCGAGGGTCGGCTTCGCCGTGCCCCTCACTCCTCCTCGTTTCCCCCTACCGCCGCGCCGCTGCACACCCTGCACCTGGACGTCTGGGGCCCCGCCCCCGTCCCTGGGCCGCGTCGAGAGCGCTACTTCCTTGTGCTTGTCGACGACTTCACTCGTTACACCACAGTCTTTCCACTGGAGCGCAAGGCCGACGTGCCTAGCGCTCTCATCCCCTGGCTTGTCTCTGCGCGTGTCCACCGCGGTCTCCCTATCTTGCGTCTTCACTCAGACCGTGGTGGCGAGTTTGCCTCCGGTGTCCTTGGTCGCTTTTGTCGTGCGGAGGGCATCACCCAGACGTTCACCCTACCGGACTCCCCACAGCAGAATGGGGTCGCTGAGCGACGCATCGGTTTGGTCATGGAGGTCGCTCGCACCTCCATGATCCATGCCGGTGCACCCCATTTTCTGTGGCCGTTCGCTGTGCGCTACGCTTCTCACCAGCTTAACCTGTGGCCGCACCCTCAGCAGCCGCAGGTTTCGCCGACCCGTCTTTGGACTGGGTCTCCTGGTGACGCGTCTGCGTTCCACGTCTGGGGCTGCCTTGCTCACGTCCGTGCCTCCGGCACGGACAAGCTCACTGCCCGCACCCTTCCCTGCGTCTTCCTCGGTTTTCCCCTTGACGCGTCCGACTGGCACTTTTACCACCCGCCGTCTCACCGCTTCTTTCACTCTCGTGACGTCACCTTTGACGAGTCCGTCTCCTACTACCACCGCTTTCCTCACCGTGGTCCCCCGGTTACCCCCCCCCTGTTCCTGGTCACCCCTTCCCCGGTAGTCCTTGCCCCTCCTCCTCCTCCTCCCCGTCCCGCCCCCTCTGGTGTGTCCCATGTCACCCGCCTTCCGTCCGTGGACCCGGTTGAGGAGTCTTCTGACTCTGGTGGCCCTCCTGTGCAGTCCTCGCCGGCCGCCCCTCCCCAGGTGTCCCCTCCCCAGTCCCCTCCTCCACCGCCACTACCGCTGCTGCAGCCGTCGTCGTCGCCGCCGCCGCCGCCGCCGCCGTCGCCTCCGCCGCCGCCGCCGCCGCCGTCGCAGCCCCCGTTCGCTGACTCTGGGGGTGCTCGTCCCTCTCGCCCTGGGGGTGGTCCCTCTGGGGGTGCTGGTGTGGAGAGTGCCGGTGGTAGCCGAGGAG